CCACAACAGTATCCAAAGTCTACTTGCAGTATCCACAACAGTATCCAAAGTCTACTTGCAGTATCCAAAATCAATTGTTCCATTGAACTAGCGCAAGAACCAGCAAGAACTGAGAACATTTAACAAGTTGACTGATCAAAACAAACAGACACGATTTAAAACGCTACCTTCCTGAAATAATTGCAACTATGACAAAGAGTTAACCACAAACTTCATGGCGAGCTGCAGTTGAGGTAAGTCGGCTGTCAGACGCGTAACCAGAAGGTTTTGTTAACTAGCAACACGAACTACCACAATTGTTACCTAAACTTTACTTAACACCAGAGCAATACTAGAAACAGGGTCACTAGACTGAAGCTGGAAATTTTGAGTGTTAGAATCGAGCAAAATGGTTGGATCGAACTCTGTCGTCTAATTAGACCTGTATTATAACATTGATTCTTGGGTTAGTCAAAGGTGGATACAGTAGAACTTCAATAACAAATGGCCCTTGATAAAAAGTGTCATTTTAAAATATTCATGATTTTATCTTAGCAATCATTACAAGTTATTGCAAACCTCGATAAGAAGTCAACCTTGATAACAAATTTTATTTGGCAATTACCATGAAAGACTTGTTATCGAGGGTTTAGTACCGTATGTAAGAGTGTATGTCTGTGAACCCGACAACTCTTGCAATTTTGCTCCAATTTTGAAGAAATTTGGCATTACTGTAATATGTAGAGCTGAAAAACTTGATTGAGTACGCGCACCGTAGAGTATTATACATCGATGCGCGCACCAGCGAGATCTGGTCATAAACGGGGTGTAATGGGGTTTATTTTTTAATTTGATTTTTCAAATATGTACTTTAATACATGGAAATGCCCAATTATTGTAGAGTACAAAAAACTAACTATTTTGTATATTTAAGAATTTTGGATCTATTGAAGGTTACGGAGGAAATGAATTTTTAACCGATTGAAGGTTATGGAGGAAATTTCCTACGATTAAGGATAGCTGGTCCAATTATCGATCCACCAAAAAGCAAAAATTTCTTAAAATCAAACCAGTGGCCTTTTGATTACTAGAAGACCCCTATAGCCCCTAACACCTACGAGAGGCAGAAAATGCTATTTGTTTATAACTTACAACAACCAAGGTCACTCCAAGATGAGAACTGGTGCTTGCGTGTACAACAATGGGTGATGTTGAGTAACAGCAGCTAACACTTCTCACATCTACGGTGAGAACCGGAGTACGTAATGGAATTGTAGGACATGTATGTTTGGGAAGGGCTAACTTGGAATGTAAATATTATGTTATATGACAACGATTTTGCTGTTTTGAAATTATTATGTATGGTTTAGACGAGTCCTATATGTGTCTGTTAGTTTTGAAAGGGGACTTAGTTAGCAATGGTAGTGAATTAAATTCTACCAATGAAATCCTAGTTGTCAGTAAAATTGGTATGTCGAGTTTTCTTAAGATTTGCCTTCAGCGAATTTCCCGTATAGGGTATAAGCTGTTACCGTAGGTCTCATGGTAAGACCTAGGACCCAGGATTGATTTACTTTTTCATTTTGCTGTCCTCAGAGGCAAAAATAGCATGCGTTAAAATTTACATAATTGTTACCAAGAGGTGAATTTTTGTATAAATAATGCAGTAATTTGAAGTACATAAACATTTTATTGTAATACAAATACGGTACAGTACATTATACGGTAATTAAAATGAGAATCCAACCCATACAACTGGTAAAAAATAGTTTGAATATAGTTATATAGCAAGTTGGCAAATATAGCAGTGTCTATGTTATTGAAAACACGTAATCTCTGATTAACGTTCATAGTTTAGGAACTGTGGCCTTCTATTAGTATTAACCTCATTTACTGACATCTTCAAACAAAACAGCTTCTAAAAAAACTGGACCCAGCTGTCCTTGATCATTGGGCTTTTAATAAATGGCCCTTACTAATGAAACAGCTGGTCTTAGTCACTAGTCAGTAATAAACCTACAAGAGGCATCACATTCAATTCTATCCTATACGCACATAGGTGGCGTCCCCACATTTCATGGTAAATAATACTGTAATGGTAATAATAGAAATTACCACGATATGAGAACAAGAAGTCTTGCTTCACACTCACAGACTCCTAACCCATGATATTTAAATTCGGCATTTCTCCAACAATAGAGGTTAGTTTTCCGGAAAACATAATCGGATTGCCGCTTGGCGGGAAGCGACGCGAATTACCGGAAACTATTCGAACAGCTGATCGCTACTTCCGGTCAGCTGACGGCTTGTAACAATGCGGCTAAATGCTGACCAGCTTTCATCCATGATTATGCTTTAATCAAATGAAAGTATGAATAATCGTTTGTTTGGAAGGATCCTTATTAGAATTTCTTTCACATACGGTGGCTAAGAAGCTGCTACAGTACTTGTACGGCTGGTTGAAGTAGTATAAGCAATAGTGTAAAATGGTCAACTGGAAAGCAGTATAATCTGTATGATGGTACCTGTCTCTTGACCCTCCGTCTATATGGGACTGTCCCTAGGGAGAGGAGGGTCAGGAGACAAGCTCCATCATACAGACTATAGCAACTATATATAGCACACTATAGACTATAGCATGATTAAAACTCAATAGCTTCGAGATTTGAACATATCTAGCAACTTGGATAATACCACTCACATTTGCGTATATTTAATTAACACTATACGGTAAAAATAACCACCGGAGTCAAGAGTAAATAAGAAGAGACAAACTGAAAACAGCGATAGCAAAATTTTAGTGGAGGTCTTTATACTACCACAGAATGAAGGGAAGACACAAAAAGTGTCTACACTTTACCACGAGTACTTTCTGCAAATACAAACAACTAGACGTGATTATCAATTAGTAAAAATAATACTATTTTAACCGATAAATTATCCTTTACATGATTAAAACCTGGCTGCGGTGGATAAATTAATGCTCCACGCTAAACCACATTAATCTCCAGGCAAATATTGGGCAAGATTTTAAAATAAGTTCAAAACTATGGCTGTTCACTTAGTCATTGTTGATTATTCTGGTTGAAACATCGCTGGTCGCCTTCCAAGTGGTGTCGCTGGTATATTTATCACTCTACAACTTGGGTCAGTCTTGAATTTGAGAGCTCTAATATGATTTACGTTCGTTGTGTAGTATTTCGCATTATTCACTATGGTTTAATTAGGTATGCGGAGTCCAAATTGTCTACAATATTTATGTCTTATAATTTGTCGGAAGATAAAATACGAAACTGACACTTTCAAAAACAAAAAGTCCATAAAAATACTTATGGCAGGGCAGTTAAGCAAAGAAGTTAACTCCAACAATGTGCCTAAAAACCAATCATAATACAAAAATATTTATAAAGTAAACAATATTTGATTTAAAAGTAGGATTTTCTGTGTCGAGGTAGTCTGAAGTCTGATCCTGAAATCGTAGAAGTGTGTTGAGATTCTAAACTACTCCTTTTGTTACTAATCGAAATCAAAGTGGCAGCTCAAAATTTAGTGCATTGTAATTGGAAGTCAAACCCTTATAGCCGACACTTTTTAGCTATGTTTTTTAATCAAATACAACTATTTTTTCCCACTGTTAGAACTGAAAATAATATTTAAGTCAGGGCCATCATCAGATAGAAGTATCGGGGAGACGACAAATTAGCTGTTGCATTCAGCAGCATCAAACATCATAGTGTAGGCATATTTTCGAAAACAAATATGAGATAATACACTAGTTTTGTGTGCACCATCTTGTGAAAAATACATTGAACCTAATTGTAAGTACCTAATCCAAATATTTTTCAAAGGCCCCCAAGCATCCTTTTCCCTATTTCCTCTGACAAGTGCCCCGTTCAATTTTCTAGCAGCGCCCTTTACAAACATTAAACAAAAGCTGAAAAGTCCTTGGTCGATTTAACAACACTTTTCAGAGATCCCATCAAACAGTAGAGTAAATCGCAAATTGGCGGAGCAGCTCAATGGCGCATCACGGAAAGTGAAATTGAGAGGGAAAACGGAAAACAGACGGTCGACAATGGCGGGAACGGTGAATCACCTGACAAGACAAACAGCTGATTGGCGTTGACAGGTTGTACAACTGTACAAACAGAAATTGTAACCTTAATAGAATGACGGGTGCGAATGTCGTAAGTAGGCAAATCGGTTCACAATATTTCGTAAGAGTAACTATTTGGTGATTTATGTAATCTGTTTTAGTGTAGAATAAACTTACAATATCCATACATTGAGCGTACGGTATTATGTTAGAACCCAAAACAAAACTATGTAGAAAATAAATATAAAAAAATAACGTAAATTGTAGGCCTACAGATTGGTTTTCTAAAGTTACATTTTTGGAATAAAATCAATCTTCAAAATATGAGTAGAATACAAATAAATCTATGTACACAAGTAAACTAAATTTGATGTTTATAAATTTAAACTTTGGAGTTGACTTACTGCTTTACATAAGTCTACATAACCTTAATAATGTTTTTATAAATTTTATATATTTGGAATTTTTACCTAGTTTGCATCTGTAAATAAATTAATGAACACACACATTTAACTACCCAATTAATAACTATAAAATATTTGCCATTATTTGTAAATTGAAACATTTATAGAGGGACAGATTTTAATTTTTAACTCTGGTAAATTCTAAAATCAGCGTCTATTCACCACAGTATATATAGTTATAGTTTTAAAAGGTAATTATTTCGTAGTTCATTAATAATATTCGAATCAAAATATTTTATGAAGATAAAAGTTTAACTGTTTTGTGTACAGCGATATGTACCTTTAAATTATAATACAATATTACAACAAAAAAACAATAGTCATACTTTAAACCAAAGCAGAAAGTTTACGCATCGTAAGAAACTAACCAATTTCCCACCTTTAACTCTTACTCTCAAAACAATACAAATAATATATACATAAAATTTAAAAAAATATATATATATATATGATTCACTTACGTCATTCTAATACCAATGGTACACATACACTTTTTTCTTCCAACACAAACACTCCACACAAGAAATCGCGCACGAGCTCGCGCAACACACGGACAATCACAATGGGAAAAGCATCAAACGCTTCCAAAACAAATAACTAGCCATTTAGAAAATGGAGACGACACGGCGCGCCTAAGTACAAAAGCTATAGTAAAAGTAGGGTAACATGAAACGTTCGGAAATGGCACGCACTAAAGACGCGCGGATATTTTTGGACCCCCCTCCCTCCCCCAAAATGTCACCATGATGTCAAAACAGTGACGCGTTAAGATAAACAACTTTAGAAGTGGGGGGGGGGGGGGGGGTGGTGGTTCAAGCTAGAGATTAATACAGGTCATCAATCAAATAGTAAACGTAGTACTAATTTCAATATTCTGCTTAACATTTTTACATAAAATACGGAGTAAAGAGATAAGATAATAAAAAATGTTCCATGGTTAAATATTACTACCTATATAAAATTAACAATAAGAATTCAATAGAATTTTGTTGCTATTATTGAAAGATTGGAAGAAGAAAGTAAAATATAAATAAAATAAATAAAACCCCATGCAAAAATAATATTTATTAAAACCAAGTTTTAATCATCCATAGGCAATTTTACTACGCATTATAAACAGATCAATATTATAAATTATAATAATATAATAATTATTCAAATTAAATTGACGTAAAATACCCCAACAAATAAAAAAATAATAAAAAACAAGTCAACAACACCAGTTTAGAAGACGACATTTTCTATCAAGGTTCAAATACTATATAAAAGAGAAAGTAACATATTACGCTTATAAAAAAAATCTGTGATTAAAGAGTTGAATGATGTAAAAATGAAATTTGCAGGTAAGTAAGCAATAATATTATTATGTTGATTATTAACGCAAAAAGAATACTTGTATTGAAATTAAATAAGTAATAACAATAAATCAGTGTAGCTTATTTATACATTTAAGTACTACCATGTAACGTACAGAACCTCAAAGTTCATCGTAACGGAGTACCCGCTGACATTGTCAATAAATAACGTTTAATCAGCAAACCTTGCGGTGAATGTACCAATTATTGGACAAGCATTTCCCAAATAAGGGTTTAAATTCTGTTTATTGATAATCATTTTTGCAAAAGACTATATTACCCTTGTCGCAGCACACCTGCTTATTATTTACTTGCGTTGTTAAATTATCATTTGTATATTTCTCTTAAATGTTCTGAATTATTCCCTACAAAAGTAACATTAAGTTTAGTGAGTTTGTAGTTTTATTTGCTTCAGAAAAGGTAATAATGTGTTTTTTTTTCTTGAAATGTTAACAACTTAGTATGAATTATTCTCTGTATACACTAACTTGGCGTCTGAACCCTAGTCTACCTGCGGACGGACCGGGGCCGAAACCTTTCTCGCCCCCGTTGAACAGCTGTTACCATAATTAGTCACCTAGTAGCACCTCCACCGCAATTATAAACTTTTTTGTGCGGGACGGAATTTAATTTTTTTTTCTGCACAATCAAAAAGTTCATGAAATTTTAAGAAAAATGATACTAAACTTGACCATATTCCGTTAAGTTAAGCTTACGTTTAAATGATTTTTATCTGTTTGATGGTTGATATAATTGTATTTAAATTTAATTTACCAAAATACCTAACAATGTTATTCATATTAAAAATATGTCGAGTGGGTGTGTGGGGGGGGGGGGGGGGTAAAATATTCATATTATGTATACCGTTGATATTGTTATTTATATCTTTAAACCAACCCCCATGTCTTCCGGGAAATGAGTGATTCACGTCTTAAGACCTCTGACGATTCTGACGTGGGGGTATCGTCATTAGATTAATCGCGTATTGAAATGCTATTGATGAAATATGTATAATCTGCCGAAAAACTACGGTAGGCCCATCGTAGGCCAACGCTTTATACAAAAATTTAATTAGCTTAAAAACATTTACTCAACACATACACATAATTCTGTAATTTTTTATCGACAATTGCCCTATCCTTAGAAACATGATGATTGTATGATTATTTTAAGTTTCATTTGGCCCGTACAAAATGACGCAATTTTGACTTTTCATGCCAAATGCTACTTTCGCTCGAATTAACGATTAGTTTTTTTTTTACCTTTTAACACATAATATTACGTATACTTAATTAAACGTACGGTTTAAAAGTGTTTCACGTTTACAATAGGCTTAAATGTGATTGGTTAGATCTTTTCACGTTTACAATAGACTTAAATGTGATTGGTTAGATCTACTCAAAGAAACATATGAATTAGGTTGGGACAAACTACATCACCTCAACACGTTTTACATGTTTTTACTTCTTAAACTTTATTCCCGTAACAATATTAGGAAATTTAAATATATAAATCACTATTCCTTTTTTGTGTTTGCAGATTCGCGGTGCACGTCTGATTTAATTAAAAATAATTCATACATAACGATATTACAGTTTTATTTCTATCCCTAATAAAGTTTCTATTCCTCAGTAGCTACTGTACTTATGCCTGTAGGTTCTACAAACGTAATAAGAATATGGTCAAGTTTGGTATCATTTTACTTATTTATTCATGGACTTTTTGCTCGTACAGATAAAAATGTAAAATTCCGCCCCGCACAAAAAAGTTAATTAGTGCATTGGGGGTGTGACTTGGTGACTAATTATGGAAACAACTGCTCAAGAAGTGAGCGAGCAAGGGACGGTCCCGGCCCGGTCGCAGGTAGTCAAGGGTCCAGACGCCAAGTTAGTGTATACAGAGAATAAATAAATGTTCGAAATTTGATCAAAATAGATGGGGAAAAAACACAAACTGTGCCACGATTGGTATCTCAAAAACTATTATATTTGTAGTAACATTAAATGGAGAACCACAACTATTTCTTATGACATTTTTAAATCATATATTTCAATATGAATCCATTTGCCAATATACCGGCCAACTTTGAAAATTCATTCGGAAGACCCTATATTATATACAGACTGTCCCAAAAGTCCCGGACCGGTTTAATATTTTCTAAACGACAACAGATAAATCAATAAGATTTGGTACATAAACACCACACCTAAAAATCTACTTTTTTAAGGAAATATCAATTTTCTGTCACATCATGGGGACGTCCCGCAAGGAGTCAGAAGGAAATCTTAAATAGAAGCATAGGTTGACATGTACATCAAATTAAAGGTCTTTACTAGCAGAATATAATGCCGCAAATTTGAACTCAAACGGACAACCAAGTCAAGAATGACAGTGGTTCAAAGATTCATTTAATTTGCATTTGGGGGCACAGCCCTAGGAATCGGAAAAAATTGTTAACGTAAGCATAGGTCGATATGCACATCAAATTAAAGGTCTTCACTGGTAGATTAAAATGCCGTAAATTCAAGCTCAAAAGAACGCCTGAGTAAAAAATGGCAGTCGTTCAAAGATTCAAAATGGCAGGTTCAAGAAATCTTTGAACGGCTGCCAATTTTTACTCAGGCGTTCTTTTGAGCTTGAATTTACGGCATTGTAATCTACTAGTAAAGGTCTTTAATTTGATGTGCATGTCAACCTATGCTTCTATTTAAGATTTCCTTCTGACTCCTTGCGGGACGTCCCCATGATGTGACAGAAAATTGATAGTTCCTTAAAAAAGTAGATTTTTAAGTGTGGTGTTGATGTGCAAAATCTTATTGATTTATCTGTTGTTGTTTAGAAAATATTAAACCGGTCCGGGACTTTTGGGACAGTCTGTATATTGTTTTAGAACGTTAATGCGAATTAAAACGTTTTAATGCTTGTAATTTTTTTAGTTACAGTGTGTTAAACCCATGCTCTGTGGTTAAACCTAAACTTGATTTTGAGACTTATTTTAATATTTATGTTTTTCATACTCTGGGGAATTAGCAAAAATATAGTTTAAACTATTTTTAGATCGAAATAATTATCTATTGACATTGGCCATTAACAATCGAATTACAAATCTTGGTTGGCAAAACTGCAAATTGCGACAAACGGGTTCGTACTATTGTGTGAAATCACGCTGCGTTGACTAAGAATGCCTCATTACCGCGGAAATCTTGGCTGGACTTGAATTGTCTTCGGTGATTCAGTTATAGCTGTGAGTTCATTTGTAAGTTAGTCATTATAGTTGATCAATTAGAAAAAAAACATCATAAAAAGTAAACACGTTAAATTTGGACTATTTGGACTAGAGTTAAAATAAAAATACCTTTGCAATTCCTGACTTTGAGGGGGAGAACCGAGGGGATTTTAGGGGACTTTTGGTAAAATGTACATCTTTTTGTGTTCCATCCAATAGCATATAGTTTTACTTGTCCCTAAATTGTCCTGACACAAAACCGGCCACACCAATAAATCGACCTCCAAAAAAGATTTTAGTTAGTTTAAATAACAAAATCTTTCCAACCTAACCGAAGGGCATACCAATTTAGGTGCGGTCAGTATAATACGAAAAAAGTACCCAAAACCTTTATTGACTGGGCTATAGTTTATTGCAAGCCTACTCAATAAACCGAAACATATCTGATAAAACAGTACACAACTACACATTTTAAATAACACAGTGTGTCTGTAGTTTGACAATAGGGATCAATAATCAGTACACAACCATGAATAAATAAGTAAATAGAAATAAATATTTAAGAGGGTTATTTTTAAAACTATTTGTATCAAAATGCCTAAGGCTTATAAAACAAAGTTAGTTTATTAATTATAGTATTTGAAAAACATGAATTTGAAAGAAAAAATATTTAGTAGAAAAAAAGAAATATATTAGTTTCAATAAACTTGCATTCTAGGCACATTTAGGGTCGATTTATTATTTTATTTTTTATTTATTTTTTTATAACTAATACCAGTCCGTTATAACACAAATTAGTTCTGTATCACCCACATTTACTGCTACAATAAAAATGAAACTGTGTTCTGTGTATAGTTTTTAAATCCTCTTTTGAAATAAGATACATATTAGACTAATTGTACGAAGACGTAATTAATTATGGAATGTGCATTATATGTAGGACAGATTATTCTTCTTAAGAAATAACAAAGGTTTTAACATGAGAAACAGTCATATCATTCATTACCAG